AGAGGATTCGGTGCAAATCAGACTGAAAACGTACAGCCTCTGTGTTAAAATTTGCGCTGAAAACAGCGATCAAGACAACTGCTATCAGCAGCATAAGTAGGACATCCAAACATTTTTGGAAAAAAAAATTGATTCCTCTCGTTTATCCGTCACGGTAGAAGACATATCAAAAAAGTGTACCGCGTTATTTTGGGTGCACATTACATTGTTGAAGATCTGAGGCTTTTAGTGAATTCAGGTAAGGAATTTCATAAATCGAGCGGTTCTTTCCCTGGAGATATCGTCTATGATCAAGTAGGGCAGGATATTTTCAAGAAGGTGTTTGGTTGTGGCATCGTATCTCCCGCTCCACTTCCTGTTTCAATCATTTCTTACATTCTAAAGATGGAGAACTCAAATCACGATGAACAACAAGTGATCGATGCTGTGTCACAATTTGTGGTGTTACGGATATCTGATCAGGCATTAACTTTCCTTCACAATCTGATCCCGGAGTGGTTGACAGACAAGAACAAAGCTTCTCGAAAATTGCTCGTCGATAAGAAGACTGCAGGTGAGTACCTTAGAAATATTTTTGTTGAAATTCTCCCTTTTGTTGTGAATGAACCTCGAACAGGCCCATCCATTGACGTTGATTTGAAGGACTATGTTTNTGTGGTGTTACGGATATCTGATCAGGCATTAACTTTCCTTCACAATCTGATCCCGGAGTGGTTGACAGACAAGAACAAAGCTTCTCGAAAATTGCTCCCTTTTGTTGTGAATGAACCTCGAACAGGCCCATCCATTGACGTTGATTTGAAGGACTATGTTTTACGCGTTGGTGTCCGTTTTGTTGTGTGAGAATGGGGCCGAAAATTCGCTGAATATTTTTTTCGATAACTGGACGAATCATCATTTCATTGAGAGAAGAATAACATATGGAAAAATTGAGCACCTGCTGGAAGATGTTAGGCTTGCGGTCGATCATCCCTCTCTCAAAGAAGTAAAGAAACAATAAATCCTCCAGGAGATCTTATTTGCTCTTGAAGATAATATTCTGGTACTCTTAGAATATCCTCACTTCTTACACTTCTGTTTACGAAATGCTTCAAACGCTGTCCGCCAAGAGACTGTAAATTTCCATCCCTTAAGGTTCCGTTCCTTGATTGTATTGAATGTTTCTCTATAATTATTCTCCTGGTGCCAGCATTGCCGAGTGACATGCGGTGCTTTGCCACATCAGCTGATGGGAAAAAGGTTTTTAGAGCAAAAGGTCGGTCTCTCCTTTTCTTTGACGCATCTGATGGAGAACAATTAAACGAGCGGTTTTTTGGTCTAAGCAGCGTTATTATTGATAGTATTAACCGTCTGAAGTTTTCTCCCCACGGTAAGTTTGTGTTTCTTTGGGCGTCTCAACAAGTGGTTTTCTCTTGAGCGAGGTTGTGCTCCACGAGGACTTTCCTCAGTTCTCAGGGAATTCTCATATCTATAAATGGGGCGTGCTTACTTGTGATGCACAGTGTATTGTCGTGAATAGGAGTTATTTGCGCGACCCAAGTACCCTTGGAGCTCAGTCTTGTTTGTAATGATTAACCTACTGGCTCTCTGGGCTCTACAGGAGATGAACAGAGTCAGATGATGAAATGACTGTCAGTTTTTGTCCTGACGTATCGTGTGAAAAACCAGTGCGAGCGACTTAGAATTAAGAGAGACTTGGGGCAGACTCGTGAGGGTCTCCTTCGTTGAAGATAAATCGTTATCGTATCTTATACGACGTTGATGATATGGTCAAGTTCTGTGGAACATCAGTGAGTCGAAAGCTGATGGATTCGTCAAGATGGCTGAGGGACGGGAAAGCATTGTAATCCCTAAACATGACACGGCTGTCTGTTTTATAACAGTTAATAGAGGGAAATGGTTATGACAGCTGGCAAAGTTCTTTGTTGTATATTTTTATTGGCTATTTTGGAGGTTGACCCTGTACAAAACCTGGCCAAATGCTATGTGTGCTCATACGACTAACCAATAGAAGCATTGCGATTATGTAATTCATGCACAGTCAATGGGCAAAAAACAAACGATGTGCAGGGTGAGGGACCTTCCAACATAAATCTTAGCCTTTTTGTTTGCTTCTCTGATGTTTACCAGGCTTCTTAACCATTTTCCTCTGTTAACTATGGTTTTATGTTCTCAGTCTGGTCGAGTGTGCGCGGTAAAACCTACTCACCTTGGCCGTTAGACTTAGGATAGGAACCTCCTCGAGGAAGCTTTCTCGGTTTAACATTATTCAATATTTTAGGATTGGTGAGGTGAAAAATCGAAAGACAAAATGATATCGACATGAAGGGATAATTTATTTAGACAACAAAATTAGCCTTTAAAAAACATGTTTTCAGTGTTTGTAATCGGGTACATAATCAAATTTAGGCTATAAATGATTTTGAAGTATTGTATCAAGCTGCACACAAGCACGATTATATAAAGCATTCATCATAACATATTTCCGGTACAGTGTAGCACGTGACATTTCCGTGAAGTGAGAAACTGCGAATAGCTAGAATCACCCAAGAGCCAAAAACTACACTTTGTTTTAAATGATACCAACAACACATGTGAAACGCTACTTGACAAAATGGAACACAGAAGGATTCAAGATATGCTTTAACTAAAAGAAACACTGCTTCATAAATGTCTGCTGCAACACCTATGTACAATACATCCATCTAAACGCATAAGAGTTAAGAGGCATAACCAAACTGCAGCAGCCAAGTGTAAAGAGCACAAATTATGGCAAATACTCCAATAGATTTACTGCTGCTAACATGATTAGGACACTAGCTGACAAAGTAAGAATTGCGTCTTGCATAACGAAACAAATGTAGTAACAATATTCAAGCTGATGTATTTCATAATAGTGTGTTTGCGTTATCATTTCTAATTTTCCTTTGCTATTAAGAATCCCAACTGGTAGGCGGCTGACCAGTTGGCTATTTACACAACGCGGTAGAGGAGTTGAACTCGATAGATAGGGGTAGGGTGGAGGATTTGAACCAGGGACCTTCTGATTGATTTCAAAACCAGCGCCCTAAACCACTCGGCCACGCCGCCTCCGCGCCAAACCACACCTATCGTAAATATTATAGCTATTTATCGGCGATACCTCCATATTTGGTGTTACTCCAATATCCTAGTCGAGATAAAGTTAAGGATTCTATATTAGGTGAAAAAACATTTTCATGACGAGACGCACGGGACTTCTACTGTAAGTACCACAGAGAAATGGTAGGAAATTTTCCTAGCATTTCTTACACTCTCACTAGGGTTCTTCGTCTTGCGGCCAGGGAAGGCGTCATAATCTGTTTCAGTGACATGTAGATGATATTAAATAAAAAATACACCAGAAAGGGCCGACGGAACATGAGACAAGCTTTAAAATGAAGTCACGATATTAATAGTGCTTTCAAACGATGGCGGACTCCACCAACGCCAATAATCTGGAACAAAACAAAGTCATTATATATCGGATCACGTCTATACAAACGTGAAGAAAGACTTGGGTAGGAAAAAAACGTGAGCGGACAAAACCGGGGAATGCCTATAAATAAAGTAATTCCACAATGATGAACGAATTACACAACATGAACCTTCCTCTGCTTCTCCCCCTGAACCAAGTTCAGATCTAAGA